GCAGGGGATATCTTTCCATTTCCTCATGTCCTCTTTTATTTCCTGAAGTAGCGTTTTGTAGTTTTCTTTGTACAGGTCCTTTACTTCCTTAGTTAAGCTGATTCCTTGGTACTTGATTTTCTGGGGCACAATTGTGAACGGGATTGTTTTTTTCATGTTGCTTTCTTCTCTCTCACTGTTTGCGTATAGGAAAGCCATGGACTTTTGGGTATTGATTTTATAGCCTGCAACTTTACTATACGAGTCTATTGTTTCTAGGAGTTTTTTGGTGGAGGTTATTGGGTTCTCTAAGTATAGTAACATATCATCTGCGAATAGTGAGAGCTTGATTTCTTCCTTTCCTACCTGAATGCCCTTAATATCTTTTTCTTGCCTAATCGCTATTGCAAGTACTTCCAGTACTATATTGAACAGCAGTGGAGAGAGTGGGCATCCTTGTCTCGTCCCTGATCTTAGAGGGAAGGCTCTCAGTTTTTCCCCATTGAGGATGATGCTTGCTGTAGGCTTGTGGTAGATGGCTTTAACTATGTTGAGGAAAGTCCCCTCTATACCCATTTTGGCTAGGGTTTTCATCATAAAGGGGTTCTGGACCTTGTCAAATGCTTTCTCTGCATCTATTGATATGATCATATGCTTTTTATCTTTTCTTTTGATGATATGGTGGATTATGTTGATTGATTTCCGAATGTTAAACCATCCTTGCATCCCTGGGATGAATCCTACTTGGTCATGGTGTATGATCTTTTTGATGAGTAGTTGGATTCTATTTGCTAGTAGTTTGTTGAGGATCTTTGCATCTGTGTTCATCAGGGATATCGGCCTGTAATTCTCTTTCTTTGTGGTATCTCTGTCTGCTTTTGGTATCAGTGTGATATTTGCTTCGTAAAAACTATTCGGAAGTGTTTTTGATATTTCAGTTTCGTGGAAAAGCTTAAAGAGCATTGGGAGTAAGTCTTCTTTAAAGATTTGGAAGAATTCACTAGTGAATCCATCTAGGCCAGGGCTTTTGTGCTTGGGGAGACTTTTTATTACCATTTCAATTTCCTTGATGTTGATAGGTCTGTTCAGGTATTCCAGGTCTTCTTGGTTCAGCCTTGGGAGTCTGTAGGAGTCTAGGAATTTATCCATTTCCTCGAGGTTTTGATGTTCCGTGGCATAAAGCTTCTCAAAGTACTCCCTGAGGATCCTTTGAATTTCTGTAGTTTCGGTTGTGATGACCCCGTTTTCATTTCTGATTCGGTTTATTAGGGTTTTCTCTCTCCCCTTCTTTGTGAGTTTTGCTAGAGACTTATCGATCTTGTTAATTTTCTCAAAGAACCAGCTCTTGGTTTCATTGATCTTTCGGATTGTTTTTTGGGTTTCCATCTTGTTAATCTCTGCTCTGAGTTTTATTATTTCCTTCCTCCTGTTTGGGTTGTGCTCCTTTTGTTGGTCCTTCTCCAAGCTCTTAAGCTGTGAGGTTAGTTTATTTATGTGGGCTCGCTCCTCTTTTCTGAGGAATGCTTGTAGAGCTATAAACTTTCCTCTTAAGACAGCTTTTGCTGTGTCCCATAAGTTTTGGTAACTCGTGTCCTCATTTTCATTCGTTTCTAGGAATCTTTTGATTTCCTCTTTGATTTTCATTCTAAGCCACTCGTTGTTCAATAGCGCACTGTTTACTTTCCAGGTGTTTGATTTAGTTTTCTGTTTTTGTGTGTGATTTACTTCTATAGCACAGCTGGTAGGGCTTTCGCCTTACAAGCGGCCAACATGGCCGACCCGAGTTCAATTCCTCCGCCCCTCTCGGAGAGCCCGGCAAGCTACCGAGAGTATTCGATATGCCAGACACAGTAACAACAAAGTCTCCAATGGAGACGTTACTGGGCCCGCTCGAGCAAATCGACAATCAACGGGAGGGCCTTTACCTTACCTTTTACCTTTAAGCGCATTGTGGTCTGAGAAGATTGTTGATACAATCTCTATCTTCTTAATTTTAGGGAGGTATGTTTTGTTGCTCAGCATGTGGTCTATCTTGGAGAATGTTCCATGTACGCTTGAGAAGAATGTGTATTCAGCCTTTTGAGGATGAAGTGTCCTGTATATATCTACTAAGTCACTTTCTTCCATTGTTTCCCTCAGATTAAGTATGTCCTTGCTAAGTTTGAGTCTGGTTGATCTATCCAGAGGTGACAAAGCGGTGTTGAAGTCTCCCACTAGTATTGTGTTGCTATTGATGTCTTTTTCCAAATCTATGAGTAGTTGTTTTAAGTACTTTGCTGGTCTCTCATTAGGTGCATATACATTTATTATTGTAAGTTCTTCCTGTTGTACAGATCCTTTGATCACTAAGAAATGGCCTTCACTGTCTCTTATGACCTTCTTCACTCTGAAATCGATGTGATCTGATATTAAGGTGGCTACCCCAGCTTTTTTATGGGAGCTGTTTGCCTGTAGGATTGTTTTCCAGCCTTTGACTCTGAGTCTGTGTTTGCTTTGACTATTAAGGTGTGTTTCTTGCAGGCAGCAGAATGTTGGGTTCAATTTTCTAATCCATCCTGCCATTCTATGTCTTTTAATTGGTGCGTTTAGCCCATTGACATTGAGAGAGATTATTGTTATGGGATTTTGTCCCATTGTTCTGTTGAAATTAGGTGTATTTGAGGGGTCTGTCCTGTCTTAAAGTAGCCCATTTAGTTGTACTTGTAACCATGGTCTTGAGTCTATGAAGTTCCTGAGCTGTTGTTTGTCTATGAAACTGTGTGTTGTTCCTTCTATTATGAATGAGAGTCTCGCTGGGTAAAGTATTTTTGGAGAGGCATTTATTTCGTTGAGTTTTTTCACTATGTCCCACCACTGTTTTCGGGCCCTGAGGGTTTCATCAGAAAAATCAGCTGTGAATTTTAAGGATGCTCCTTTGTAAGAGCCAAAATTATTTTTTAAAATAAAGGATGTTGGGAGGATCGTACCAGGATGGGTGAAGCATGCTGAAAGAGGACTATAGACTGAACATGATTGCCACTCAATGCCTCTTTTGCAAATCACAGCACCTGAAAAGAGAGAGAGAACAAAAGGGAATGCCCTGCCACAGAGGCAGGGTGTGTGTGGGGGGGGGCGTGGGAGAGATACTGGGATCCGTGGTGGAGGGAAATGGGCACTGGTGGAGGGATGGGTATTTGATTGTTGTATAATTGAAACCCAAGCACAAAAATTTTTAAGTCTGCAACTATACCTCATGGTGTCTCATTAATAAAATTTTTTAAAAAAGTTACTTAAAAAATAAAATTATTTTTTAAATTTTATTTTCATAAAGTTGTTCACAATAATGAATTACACTCAATATTTTTATCCCACCACCATTACACCATCCCACCACCATTATTCCTAAGTTTACCACCACCACCACTCAAGCCTGCCCAACAGACAGATACTTTATTTTGTATTGCTTATTATGAATAGCATGAGAAGTCACATGGCCACAAAAGTGGCTGCATGCTCCTGGAATTCTAAAATTTTAAATAATTAGGGTTTGAAGAAATCTCTGCAGCGAGCTGCTCGGTTCTGAGATTCATTTTTGAGTCTCTGGATCATGGCCGTTACTGTGCTTAAATGGCACCTGGAGGCAGTTCATGGGCATGACATAGAGGTGGGGAGATGGGAACGAGCAGCTGTCCCTGATCCCTTGAGGACTAGAGTTAGCAGTCACTGGTCCCACATACCTGGGTTTTCCATTGGGTTCTGGAATTCGTAGGGGGCAGGTGGAGGGACAACACCCGCCCCTGTCTGAGGCACCCCGGTGAAATCGGCCTGGTGCAAGATCTGGAGACATCTCTTCAGCGAGCTGCTCAGTTCCGAGATTCATTTCTTGTCGGGAATGTTTTAGGGTAACACTTTAGGCTCCTCCCCAGCACCAGTAGCTTCTGGTGTGAAGTGGCTCAACCTGGCTACATGCCTGATCATGTATTTGGTCCCTAGAAACAAGAGCAGTTCCCTGGGCACCATAACAGCTTTGTTCTACTCTCTCTAAAACTGTGATCAGTGTGGTGGAAATGTAGTATGTCCAGACTCTATGGCACAGCTTAAATAAGGTGGTCAGACCTTTCTACTGATCCTGCATGGTCCTTATTGGGCACGCAAAGTCCAGCATGCAGATATCAGAGCAGACCAGCTGCCCTGCAGGGGACCCAGACACAGCAGCGGGGCCTGTGCTCACTCCCATAAACTGGCCCATAACCTTCAGGTTGTTCCTGTTGGCGAGTCTCCTTGCCACCTGGCCCCACCCCAGCAAGGGCTGGGAGTTTAAACAACACTGGCACGTCTGGAGAAAGCTCTGCTCTCCACCGAGGAGCACTGAGGAAACCCCACGGTCACAGTCAGGGAGCCGAGGGATCCCTGGACTCTCCTCCTCCATGGAGCATACCCTAGAGGGGCAGCCAGTCTGTGGAGCTGGGTTGGATGGAGGAGGCTCTGAGGTAGTAGCTCTAATAAAGGACCTGAAAAAGTTGGAACAAGCATCTGGAAAGCCCTGGGGATCTGGCTTTTACCTGTTAGAGCACGGGTGGCAGCTGGCTGAGACCAGCTCTTCAATCCTCTCAAGTGGGAGGGGGTTGGGGGTAGGAAAGGGTCTAGCTGGGGCTTGGGAGGTATTATCACAGTCTGCTCCCAAGAAAAGGCACACCTCAAAGTCCCTGGAGAGGGGGCCATGTTTTGTCTGAACAGGATAAAGATTGAGGGATGCATTTTCATGTGAAAGGTGGGGAACAAAGGTCCCAGTATCTGGCCTTGAGGATCCTTGAGCCCCAGAATAGTCTTGCTATTTGTGTCACGTTCTTGGGATTGGGTTCGGTCAGACAAAAGGCATCCCAGAGCTCATGCAGGCACACCTGTGGCCCTGCCTGGCAAACTCTTTCAGGTGTTCCTTCTACTGTTGGTGCTTCGCCAGGTTTTGGTGCCGAACTTGCCCAGGTCCTGTGCTCCCTGTATGTGTTGTCTCCAAAAGGGGCAACCTGGGATAGGCTCCGGAAATGGCAGCAGACTCTGCAGTCGCCAAAGCTCCCCATGTTCCACAGCCCACAGTTGGAACAGCCCTGGTGAGGGTCCAAACTGCATGTCCAGTTGTGGGCTGGGTAAGGGCTCAGGCACTGGATCATGGAAGGGAAATCAAAAACCTCATCAGAGCTAGGTGAGAAGGGTTTCCGCGAACCTGTGTAAGCAGGTTCAAGCTGTGCAGAGGCTAGGGACTTACATGAGCAGATGGTCCACAGCTCTGGGCCAGAGGTGAGCTCCTGGCCAACCCTTACTTGATGGGGCAGGATCAAACCCAGGTTCTAGTAGAAACCAGATATGTGGATGTCTCTAGGTATGGCCAGCCAGGTAGAGCCCAGTGTTTATCCAGCCTTCTACAGAGGGAATTTGGTGTGGCCCCAAGAGGACGTAATGTGTGCCCTGTGGCCAGAGGTGCACTCGTGGCCTCCCTGCGAGTTGGCAGGCTGGGTTTTGGTGAGGGACCTGTGACTCAATGCTGCCCAGCAGAAACAGGGACTGGATACATTGCCACCTGGTGGCTGCCTGCCAGGCATGCTGGCTCCAGAGCTCTATGGGCAGTAATTCGGACTTAGTTTCACCCCTCCACCCTGGAGAAGGAAACAGTGCTATGGGCTTCAAAGGTGTTTCCAATGATCAGACCCATTGACAAGGACAGCAGAAACAAAAATACACAAATGGGACTTCATAAAATTAAAAAGCTTCTGCCTAGCTAAAAACATGGTCTACAACTAAAGGACACCAGACTGCATCGGGGATAATATTCACGTGAAACACATCAGGTAAATATTAATATCCAAGATCTATAACGCCCCCCAAATTCACAAACCCTATTTAAAAATTGTGAGAGAAAAGAAATAGACACATCTCTAAAGTAGACTTATGACCATGAAATAACACATGAAAAAGGGTTCATTATCACTTATCACTGGTCTCCGCTGGGCTGGAGTGGTAGCACAAAACGGGTAGGGCATTTGCCTTGTATGCGGCTGACCCAGGTTTGATTCCTCCGGAGAGCCTGGCAAGCTATTGAGAGTATCTCGTCCTCACGGCAGAGCCTGGCAAGCTACCCGTGGCATATTCGATATGCCAAAAACAGTAACAAGTCTCACAATAGAGACATTACTGGTGCCCGCTCGAGCAAATTGATGAACAACGGGAGGACAGTGCTACAGTGCTATCACTTACTCTCAGGGAAATCCAAATCAAGATGATAATGAGATATCATATCACACAAAGGAGAATGGCACCTATCAGAAAAAAAAACTGGGCACAATCTGTGCTGTTGTTGGGATGTGGTGGAAAAGGAATCCTTACCTGCTGTTGGTGGGAATGTTGCCTGGCTTAGCTCCTGTGGAAAACGGTTTGGAGGTTTCTCAGAAAAGTAAGAACAAAGCTGCCATATGATCTAGCAATGCTGCATTTTGCTATTACCCCCAAGACATAAAAACATTCATTCAAAAGAACAAATGCACACCATTAATTCATTGCAATACTCAACACAATAGCTAGACATGGAACCAACTTAGGTATCCAACATGAGATAAGCAATTAATGAGAGTATGATATGCAAACACAGTACAATACAATGCAGCTATAACGAAAGGTGAAGTCATGCAGTTTGCCACAACTTGAATGGAACTGAAGTGAGTCAGAAGGAGGACAAATGCCACAGACAAATGTCACTTGTCTGTGCTCTATAGAAGAACAGGGTAAGGAACGCAAGGTAACAAAGGGAATATGCCTAGATGACCCTTGACCCTTGATTACAGAAATAAGAAATAAATGGAAGGAAAGAAACTGAGGGGAGTGAGAAGAAAAGGATGGGGGGGCGCGTAACAAGGGTAGGGGGCATGTACATTAGAATAGACTTGAGGTTTATCTGTATTTCTGTATTATACAGCTAACAACACTCTAAGCATAAGACTCAAACTACAACATCCAAGTTAAAAAAATATGCCTGTCCAGGGGTATGGTGCTGCCATCAGTCAACCTGCATCTGCGGGGAGAGTGCATCAGCAGCCTGATGGTGACTTTAGGCTTCCTGATACTCCAAAATTGCCTCTGTGCCTTTGGCTGGACCCCAACAATTTGGGACCAAGTTTGCCAAAAAAATTAAATGACCAAAAGTTAAGTATATGGGAACTATGCCCACAAATCACCTCCAGCTCAGCTATACAAGCTCATTGAACTTACTTCAGAGACCCATAAATAACTCTAGAAAGAAATCAAAAGCCACAATTAATCTCAGACCCACTCATGGCTGAACAGATGGGGGTAAATCATGTTAGTCTGAAGCACCCCCAAGCAGAGCCCCCAGTAGCTGCTTGCTTGGAAGCAGTCCAAAATAGCCACCATACCCCTGACCTGACTTCACCATCTCAGGATGGACTTCACAAAGATAAAATCTGCTGAAAATTCTGGTATGTAGGTTTTCTGATGGAAATCTCCAGGCTTTCTCATAGTTGGGATGGGTTACCTCCCCCCACTTCCCAATACACATGGAAGCATCAGCAGTCACCCCATGAACCAACTCCAGTGCCACCATGTCAGCTCTACTACAGACTTTGCTTAAGAGACCCATAAATAAATCTCCAAAGACATCAAAAGTTGCAGTTAATCTCGGACACAAACTTGGCTGAACAGACCAGGATCGCCACCATACCCCTGGCTTGACTAAACCATCTCAGGATGGACCTCACCAAGACAGAATCTGCTGAAAATTTGGGTATGCGGGTTTTGTGACTGAAATTGCCAGACTTTCTCAGTGTCTGGATGGGCTACCTGCCTCCACCTCCCTGTACTTCTGGAAGCCTCAGCAGTGACATCCACACCCCAAAGCTGCCACACAGTTAAAAAGATACTCCAGCCTTACTGAGTCAATAAAAATACTGAATTCCTTGAACAAACACCAGGACCCCTTAGTACCTGTATTGCAAATCATAACACACAAAAGGAAAAGGAGAAAGAGAGCAAGAAGAAAAGTGCCTCCCATAGAGGGAGCTGGGGATGAGGGATGGGGCATTGGAGGGTGGTGGGAAGGAAACAGGGGACACTGGTGGTGGGAAATGTACACTGGTGGAGAGATGGGTGCTGGATCATTGTCTGACTGAAATCCAATTATGAACAGCTTTGTACATGGACATTCAATTTAAAAATTTTTTTTTAAAAAAGTAATGTGGATTTCATGCCAATTCAATCAGCTTAATAAATGTCTGAATAAATAGCAGTACTCTTACATGAAAAAATAATGATAATAATAAAATGTGCCTGTCAAGGAGACAGGCTGGGGAATGGAAGGAATCTTAGGGAAACTGGTGGAGGGAAGTCAACACCAGTGGTGAGATTGTATGGAACATTGTATACCTCAAAGTCAACTATGAATAACTATGTAAGTAACAGCGCCTTAATGCTTAACAAACTTTTTCTAAATTTAAAAAGGAAAGATAACTGTAAGCCTGAGAGGATCAATGAACAAATATGATTTCATCATCATGGGGAATGAGCAGCTACCGCCAAACATCACCCTTTAAGTAGTGCCAGAAGGTTCCATACTTCTCTCACCACACTCAGTGATTCATCATCTGAGGATGCCTAAGGACCACACACCTGTTTTTCTGAAGGGGGAGAAAGAGAGGCACATGGAGTTGATGGAGCCCCATGAGTGGAGCCATAGCTGTCAGCTGACCTGGCTGGGGAAGGTAGAGCTTCACACCCCCACCCCCAGTGAACTCCACAGAGAGAGGGTAGGTTTGTGCCAACTATCAAGACGGGCCACTGGACACAGACACTTGGCTCTGGACACTTGGCTGTGGCAGGTGTGTTCTTTCCCCCACTGCCCTCCCCTCTTCCCTGGGGATTTAGAGTCTGAGGTCAGAGGGAAACCCAGATGCTGTCCACCGACACCATAGACAGGGGCTGAGATGGGGAGAATTGTGAACTCTGTGCTCAGGTTTGCCCTCCCTGCCCAGGGCTGTGGGTGGCTAGGGGAAGTTGTCTCTGGCTTGCCTTTCCCCTCCTCCAACCAGGACCCAAAAGAAACCCAGAAGTAAGGTCACAGCGACACCTTCTGGTATTGGAAAAAGAGGCGATTTAGAAATCACAAGCTGGCAAGGCTTCAAGAGAATGAACCTAGAGGAAACACATTCTTGTCAGTGCATATGAAATGTTGTTTCAAATAGGTTCAAATCAATCTTAGATCTCTACAAAAGTATCAATAATAATATAAACATTTAAGTGAACTTAAGCATCTTTTCCCATTACAAAGCTATGAAGGGAAAAAAAATCAACCCAAAAGCAAACAGTAAGAATCACACTATACAGAAGCAGAACAAGATTCTTCTGAATAGCTCTTGAAACAATGAGGAAATAAATAAGATATATGAACATTAACAAGAGACAAAGTAAAAATAAACTAGGACATGCAGCAAAGAAAGTGATGGGAATGAGGGAAGATCAAAGCGATACAGGCCTACTTTTAAAAAAAGAAAAGAAAAAGTAAGAAAGTCTCAAATAATCAATTTGAGCTCACATGTGAAGAATATGGAGATGGAAAGAAAAAATTAGCAGAAGGAAATGATAGGACCTTGATAATAAATAAACAAAAATTAAAATGACATAGGAGCCCAAATTATTTGAATCTCATTCCTAAAGTGTCTGGTGGGTGTGATGCAGAAACAAATTCTATCTCAGGCATTCTTCTTTTCCTAGGAACTCATAAATGACAAAGTAAGGACCTTTGACTGTGAATTTCTGAGATATTCTCTCTTTACTTTTTTTGCTATTTTTTTCTCTTCCCTTTTGGTTTTTGGAACACACCCAGTGGTGCTCAGGGCTTACTCTAGGTTCTGTGCTCAGAAATCATTCCTGGCAGTGCTCAGAGGACCATAAATGTTTCCTGGATCAAAGCAGGATTTAGTCACATGCAAGCCTTTACCCCTGTACCTAGTTCTGGTTCTTCTTTGCTTTTTTCTTTTTTCCTTTTTTTTTGTTGGGTCACAGCCAGCGATGCACAGGGTTTACTCCTGGCTCATGCACTCAGGAATTACTCCTGGCGGTACTCAGAGAACCACATGGAATGCTGGGAATTGAACCCGGGTCAGCCACGTGTAAGGCAAACGCCCTACCCGCTGTGCTATTGCTCCAGCCCCACTTTTTTGCGTTTTAACATAGGTTTTGGCAGAGAAGATGAAAGACAGGGTCTTTCTGACATCAGCTAACTCTGATCTCTCCTGTAGATTCATCTGACAGAAGAGACATTTCACAGCAGAGGAAAATATGAATTTCATTTTCTTGTGTCTTGTTCTCTAGTGTTATAATGGGTCTCAGGGAGCTGAGAGCTCAGATGGACACAAGGAGGACATGAAGTAAAGAACAGAAACATCACTGACCACACACGACAAGGAATAGGCTTTGCGACAGAAAATCAACAACAAATTGGAAAACTCTCCAAATCAGCATATATATTATTGTAGATTTCAAAAGGGGAGGAAAAAATACTACTGTAAGCCAAGAAAACCAGGAGGAAGAATCTAATTTCCAGACTTAGCAATTTATAAGAAATTTCTCCCAATCCTAGACTCATAAACAGAAAAACAAAATCAGTTTTGACACAGGTGTGAAAGTAAAATTCTTAGCGATGATAGAAAACACCAGATTAATAAGCTTAAAAATGAATAAACTGAACATCAATATTTAAATCTCATATTTTGAGTAAGACGGTTTTCATGGCAAGTGATCACCATGCCAGTTTTCCATCTTTACAACTTCGTCTTATTGAGAATGATATTCTCCAAACGGGACTATACATGCTATGAAAATGAAATGTTATAGAAATGACTACTCACTAAATGACTAAGCAAAATCCACTTGACATCCTGTGATAGAATCAATGTTTTTTATACTGGATGTTAGTATTTGTTACAACGGATTATACTGTTTTCCCTGATGATTCACTCACTAAGGATCTTTCAGATTATTTCCAATGAAAGCCATTACTGAAAAATTCTAAATGATACTGAAAATTATGGAATTGTCCCTTCTAATGGGTGAATTTTATGACATGAATTCTATCTCAGTTGAACTCTGTAACAAGCTGAGAAGCGTATCCCTTATCTAGCGGTGTGGCTTGCCCTTCCTGGGTTGAAGCATCCCCGTTCAATCCTGCCTCCCTGGGTCCCTCCTCTCGGCTCGCACCTTGGGTCTCCCGTTCTGCTCCAAGGTTCTCATCTGAGGATGGATCCACTCCCGACGCTCCAGCTGCGCCTGAGGCCGCCACTCAACTCGGAGCTCGACCTCTCCATCCCAGATCTCTTCCAAAAGCCACCTGGAGTTCCGAGGTCCCTCCCTTGAGTGAGTAGAAGCACTCGGCTGCTCCGTGGACCCTGCTCCAACTCTCCAGGGCCTGACCTGGTCAGAGTGGGGCCAAGGCAGGGTGTGAGAGCTCGGGTCCGAGGGGATTAGGGAGAGGTCAGGGCGGGGCCAGGGCAGGGACATTGCAGGGGCAGGTCCAAGGTCAAGGAGGGCTCAGGAGAGAGCTGTGTCCAAGGAGGAGGATGGGATTAGAGAGGTCAGGTGTGTCTTAGGGTCAGGGGGCAGTGTCAGGGTGGGGTCAGAGGACAGAGGGGCGGGGCCACTCTGGCCCTGGCATGAAACCAGGAAGCCCCTGGCAGGAAGTCCCGCCCCCAAAGCCCGCGGGCCCAGGAGGTGCCTGGGGTGCCCTGGGCGCAGGTGAGCGGACGGCCTTGGGCAGGGAACAGCCTGGAGTGGACGGGCCCAGCCTGTTTGTTCCTCGCGATGTTCCCCAGTCTTCATGCAGGCAGCCAGCCACTGCGTCCACGCGGTTGGGGCACCCGGCCTGCCCTGTCCAGGCCACAGGGCCCACTACCGCCCCTTCCGAGACAGCGGGGAGGTGGAGGCGGGATACTAGGACAGCCCCGCACACAAAGCTGGTGTCTGGGCCCGGGGCGGGAGTGGGGTGGGGGGCACTGTGGGCATGGGGTCGCCGGGATGCGGCTGGAACCAGCTGTGGCCACCACATCCCTTCCGCGTCATCCCACGGGGCTTGCTAACGCGCGCTCTGCTGTCCAGGTTCCTGCTGCCCAGGCAGCGGGCAGGGACATCAGACCCCAAGCTGCCCTGTGGCTCTGGGGCTGGTTGAGCCCTGCTCCTGGCTTTCCCACCGAGAAGTGGTCAAGGGTCTACCGGAGAGGAAACGGGGACCTCCCTGTCTCCCGCACGGCATCGGGCTGGGCTCCACAGTGTGCGGGAAGCCCAGGGGCGTAGGGATGATCACTGGTGGCCAGGAGGCCGTGGAGGGCCAGTGGCCATGGCTGGCCAGCCTGCAGTACCGGGGCAGTCATCCCTGTGGAGCTGTGCTCATTGATTCCCACTGGGTGTTCTCTACCGCCCACTGCTTTCCAAAGTGAGTTGTTTCTTGGGTCCTTGCAGCTGGGCTGGCAGGGGAGAGGGTTAAAAGATTAGAGCCCCCGCATCCTCAAGGCTGTGTGCTCGGATAATCTGTGTCATTCTAGTCCAAGTCTTTCTGCCTGTGACCTGTCCTCTCCTGTATTGTCCTCACTCCTCACCTGACTTTGCTCATCTTCCATCCTCATCCCTGTGCCTTCCCCCGACACAGGTATGCCCCCGAGATGGCAGTGTTCATCCTGCCTCCCAGGTGCAATGAGAGCTGGCTCTTTGTCACCTCACACCAGGGCTTCCCTCAATGTCCCTGCAATCCTGGTTGGCGGAGAGAGGCTGGAACCTGGGATGCAGGGGCAGATGCTGGTGTTCTGCATGTCTCTGGCCTGGGGTCTCTGCTCAGCACATGTCTATTGGCCAGCTGCATGGACACTAGATATGGAGTCCGTGACCTTGAAGAAGAACAGAGCTGCTCTCTGTCCTGGGTCTAGTTGGCTGTTCCTATAGGTTTGGGAAGGGCAGTAACCAGGAGCTGGATCTTCGGTACATAGAGAACCACAAGCATCTGCTCTGTGCTGTGTCCCACTTGAGACTCACTATGGATTAGGTTGGCTTGACCCACCTCACTGTGTCTCCATTTAGTCAGAGCCAAAGTTCCCCCTGTGGATGAGCAGGGCTGACACCATTGGAGTGTGGAAGTCAGATGGGTAGGCTCCTGTGGGCATAGGTCAGCTTGTGGAAGCAAGGGTTTGGTCACCGGCTGTGTGTGGGGAGGAATTTCCAGGTGGTGGAGTGGAAGGTGGGATGTTTCCTCCCTCATGGTCAGAACACAGGACATCCTGCACACATGGTCTCCCACTGACCAATGATTTTGTGCAGTTTTAGAACAGGTGAGTACCAAGAAGGAAGTAAGGGGCGGGAGCGATAGCACAGTGGGTAGGACGTTTGCCTTACACGTGGCCAACCCGGGTTCGATCCCCAACATCCCATATGGTCCCCTGAGCACCGCCTGGAGTAATTCCTGAGTGCAGAGCCAGGGGTAATCCCTGTGCATTGCCGGGTGTGACCCAAAAATCAAATAAAAATTAAAATAAAAAATAAAAAAGAAGGAAGTGAGAGAAAGTGGTGCTAGAGCAGTTCGGTCATAAGGCGGGTCAAGAGCCAAGATGGAGCCAGGGCTCTCTGCATGTGCCCAAGGAAGGTCAGGATTGTCTAGCCTCATGGGGGCCTCCAGCCCTCTGTGATCCCTTCCTCCAGTAGTGGGTGTGTGCTGAGTTCTGTTTAAAACCGCGGCTGGTCTCCAGAGAGAAGGGCTGACAGAAAGGGAGAGTCATGTGGGGTGGTGCAGACTAGGCAGTGCTGGGGGTCAGATGATGGTGTAGAGGCGCAAGCTGCCATATGCAGAAGATAATGACTGTCACTTTCCCTCCTGCAGGAAGTCTCATGCCCCTGAAGATTACTGGGGGTTCGGGGGAAGTACGCAGCTCTACCAGGACACCCAATATGCCAGGAGGGTGACTGTGAGCTGCATTATCATCCATCCAGACTTTAAGAAGCTCCACCATTTTGCAACGGTGTTACAACTGCACCAACCTGTGAACTTCAGCTCCTATATCATTCCTGTCTGCCTTCCAACCCCTGGCATGGAGCTGCCCCTTGGCACATCTTGTTGGATAACTGGCTGGGGAAAGCTCACCAAGAACAGTGAGTGGCTATGGTGTGGGTGTGGGTGGGAGATGGGGAATGGGATTCTAGCTCATCAAAATCTCTAATTAGCATGGAGGCCAGTGGATCTTGTCTCTCTGTGCCTTATTTCCAGAGAGCTGGACTCTTCTAGTTCCTCTTGTGCAAAATGTGTCCTTTTGAAAGCTTCAAAGTTACTCAAATTCTGGGGTCCTTTGGTTTTTGGAGTCAGAAATCTGGATCTCAAAGTTTCTCTGGTTTGGGTGTCCAAATTTAACTGATAAATTAATTGATTTAGGGTTTCTCAAAAATGCTGTTTAGGTGGCCTGAGAACTCCTCTTAGTGGTGTATGGCCTACCTGCTCAGTTTGAGGATGCAGTGTTGTTAGGTCCTGCAGGCCACCCACTGATGCTGGGGAAACCTCTGGGCCACATCTGGTTGTGGTCAAGGGCCTGTAAAGCTTTATCTTGATGCTCAGGGAACATGTCATGCCAGAGATATGACTGGCAATGATTTTATGAGAAGCATGTATTTCACACTTCTGTTATCTTCTAGCCCCTTGGTTCTAATATTTCAATTTGATGTAGATCAGACATGACTTTGTCAACTGAATTTGTCTGAGTGTTTCTCTTTCTACTGTGAAATACCTTAATTTTTCCATGGCCATAGAAGGAACACGTAAAGTAAAGGCCCTCCCGTTGTTCGTCGATTTGCTCGAGCGTGCCCAGTAACGTCTCCATTGGAGACTTTGTTGTTACTGTGTTTGGCATATAGAATACATCACGGGGAGCTTGGCAGGCTCTGCCGTGCGGGCAAGATACTCTCGGTAGCTTGCCGGGCTCTCCGAGAGGGGCGGAGGAATCGAACTCGGGTCGGCCATGTTGGCTGCGTGCAAGGCAAACGCCCTACCACTGTGCTATCGCTCCAGAAGGAACACGTAAAAGTAAGAAAAAAGCTTTGAAGAACCTCGGGGAAGATCGATCATGGCCTGAAATTATCTCAGCTCCATCACCTAAGTTTTGTGCTTCTCCTAACCTGTGTCTCCTATCTGCCGCTTGGATTTGTTAGGTGAATGGAGATATAGGGTGAATACAGGGCAAAACTTTGTGGAGGTTTTCAGTTAAATGAGAAATATAAACATTGAGTATAAACATGAACTTGTTCAGAGAAGTATGTTTATACTTTAGTGAAATGTTGATGGCATACTGATTAGGGAAAAGGAAATATTTATTTGCCTTTTAAATTTTTTTATTTTTATAAAGTTGTTCACAATACTTTATTACATTAAATATTCCAACACCCATCCCACCTCCATACACCTTCCCAACACCATCATTTTGAATTTTCCCTTTCTTTCTTTCTTTCTTTCTTTCTTTCTTTCTTTCTTTCTTTCTTTTGTCTGTCTGTCTGTCTGTCTGTCTGTCTTTTTTCTTTCTTTCTTACTTTTTTTTTCTATTTGGGTCACACCCAGCAATGCTCGGGGGTTGCTCCTGGCTCTGCACTCAGGAATTATTCCTGGCGATGCTCGGTGGACCATATGAGATGCTGGGAATCGAACGTGGGTCAGCCGCGTGAAAGACAAATGCCTTCCAGCCCCCATCTCTTATGAGATTTGATTGAACTTGTCAATCTGAGAGGGGTTTCTGGTCTTCTCTGTATGTGCCTGTGTGCCTTAAAGCTCCAGTACTAGGAATCACACAAGGGTACTCAGGGAGCATTTGTCTGCAGTGAGGTTAGAGGAGCCTCAGAGCTACAGCTCCTGCTCCCCAACTCCCCTGCCTAGATGAGCCTTTCCCTTTGATGCAGTAAGAGGGCTTCTGCCCACACTGGTTTTCCCTGAGAGGATTTCAGGACGCTTTGTGGTGACGACCCCCCCCCACCGCCCGCCCAGCAGTATAGGGTTTCTCCATCACACCTAGGTAGGAGCATTTTCCAAAGAGTCTGAACATTTTTGAGAAACCCAGAGGCTGAAGTGACTGAGAGGAAGGGTTCTGGGTCGTGCATACTGCTGTAATTCGCTTTCTGAAAATCATAGGGTCTGTAGAGGCTTCAGACACCCAGAGCCTCTCACAGGCTCAGTCTCTCGGCACTTATTCATTGACCATCACTTCTGATGCTGAGTTAGTACAAGGTCCTGGGCCAATGGCTGAGGTTGGCTGCATGATTGATCGATTTCCATCTGTGACTGTCCCAAGGATCAATTTGAAGCTTCCTAGTGCAGGATGGTAGTTCCGGCCCCTGACACTAGAACTATATCAGGACACTGGCATCAGGATCATCCCAGGGGACCACAGAAAACACCCAAACAGCTGTTCCCAATAACCTGCCCTTATAATTAGAATTCTGAGCCCCACCTCAATTGTCCACACTGATTGCCCTCTCCTTTTTTAGGGTGATTCTGGAGGCCTTCTGGTCTTTGACTTCTCCAAGAGTTGGGTTCTTCTGGGGTTGGCCAGTTGGGGCCTGGACTGCCAGCGTCCCATATCCCTCAGTGTCTTCACCAGTGTTGCCCATTTCATCAAGTGGATCGTCCAGATCCAGAGACTTGTGCCTCTTCCTGTTTCCTTGTCTGCTCCTCCTGAGGTCCCATTTCTATATGAATCCTAGCCAGTTTCCAGCTCATCGATATTAACCCTCAGACCTCTACAGCTCTGGCTCCTGTTGCTTTTAGTGCTTCAGGCCCTGTGGCAGGACCTGCAGTGACCGAAGAACATTCTGTCCCTGCTCTTTGCCCCAGTCCTCAGCATTCTTACTGGAGCCTCACACTTGCCACCATCTCTGTGGTTCTGTCCATCTGTTGTGATCCCAAACCCAAGCCTGGAAAAGCAAAGCAAAACCAAAGGCTCACCTTGCTCTGAAATTGGTGCATGTCCCTTCCTGTGGACTGGTCATCTGAACCCCTGGTCAAGGAAAGAGGTCTGGCAGGAAGGCTGACTGGCAGGAGGGCAGGCCACTGAGGCCACTGGCACCTGCTGAAAGAGTTGTCTGTGTCCACGTTGGTAGACTCTCCTCTGTGTCGAAGGTGAGCATATCTTCCCAGATGATGATCAATCTCTACCATCCTTCAGAAACGATAGGACAGGCCCATAACGCAAATGATGGAAACATCTCTGGAACCTGGAGGTCTGAGATGCAGGGGCAGCAGGGCTGATCGCACCCGAGGCCTCTCCACTTCATGTGTGGGTGCCTCTGTGTGAGTCCGTGTCTCTTCTCATCAGGACACCAGTGCTGTTGGGTTTGGGTATATGTCAGTGATCTCTTTCCTGTTAATCACCCCTTTGAAAGAACTGACCTCCAAGGGTCTGGGCGCTCTTAGAGCGTTTGGGGGCATGTTCAGCATGCACCATTGGGTGCAGCCCTGGAGGCACCCTGGCACTGAGTTGCCATTGAATTGGCCAAGAAATGCCAGTGATGAAGTTTACATAGGTGTGCATAGATCTATCCCTCATATGTGGCATATAAAGAAATGTAATAAGGAAATAATAAATGCCAGAGACAATAAAAACTAAGGAAGAGTTTAGAGAGTGGAGTTTCCTGGGTGGCAGGGGAAGACGGTCTGGGGGAGAGGGGACTGGAGCCATGGCTGGGGAGGGCAGTGGGCACTCTGGTGCTGGTGTGGTGAAGGGACACTGTGTCCATGGACCCCACCACTGTAGCAGTGGGCAGTGCTGAAAGGAGGTAAAGGGATACTCATGATACCCTTTCAGTAACAGTATTGCAAACCACACTGTCTAAAAGGGAAGTGAGAGGCGGTGTGGGGGAGACAGACAGACAGACAGACAGACAGACAGACAGTTACTCTTTTGCTGGTGTGTAGGACACTGTGTCCATGGTCCCCTATCACTGTAGCAGTCGGTAGTGGGCAGTGGGTGCTCTGGTGCTGGTGTGTAGGACACTGTGTCCATGGTCCCCTATCACTGTAGCAGTGGGTAGTGGGCAGTGGGTGCTCTGGTGCTGGTGTGTAGGACACTGTGTTCATGGACCTCCATCACTGTAGCAGAGGGCGGTGGGCACTCTGGTGCTGGTGTGGTGGAGAGACACTCTGTCCATGAAACCCTATCGCAGTAGCATTAGAAATCATGGTACCGAATGTTTTAAAAATATAAAGAATCCCTCATGGTGCCCCCAGACCTCCTGAGCATTCCTTGGGAAGAACCCCCACCAACCCCAAGAGAGACTCTGAAACCAGCCCAATGGCTGCACATGCGTACTGAGGGGCGCAAAGGCCATGTGCTGCCAGACACATGCCCAGCCCAGCACCACTTTCAGGGGGGTGTCCTGTCCTCCTGCAGGCCCAGCAGCCAACATAACCTTCCAGGGGAGCACAGCCGAGGTGCCCCGGCCTCTGCCCAGGCGCAGCACCCGCAGAGGGGCAGTCCTGTATGGGCCAGCAGACGGGCACCTTCTGAGGCAATAAGGCCCCAGGAGGCCCCAGACGTCTGCCAGAGTTTAGCAGCAGTGCAGGGTAAGCTCACAAGTTTGGTCCCCGGGACAGCGTATGTTCACTGGAGCAGTCAAGAGTGACTCCTCAGCGGGGCTGGAGCAATAGCACAGCGGGTAGGGCGTTTGCCAACCCGGGTTCGATTCCCAGAAACTCATATGGTCACCTGAGCACCGCCAGGGGTGATTCCTGAGTGCAGAGCCAGGAGTAACCCCTGTGCATGGCCGTGTGAGACCCAAAAAGCTTCCTCTCCTTCAAACAGAAAACAAACAAATAAACAAACAGAAACAAAGAGTGACTCCTCAGTACAGAGCCATGAGGAGCCTGAGCACTTCTGGGTGTGACCCAACTGCCCCCAAATTGTTTTAATAATTCTGTTTGGGGGGTACATGTTATTCACTTTCATCCCCACTAACGTGTCCAAACACCTCTGCCACTGCCTTTTTGTAATTTCTAGTTCGTCCCTTCCCTCTCTGCAATGTAATTTTACGTGAATTCAAATTCACTAAATATTTTAAGAAACACATTTTATGCTTAACTTTTCATTAGTAATAGCACCGTAGCACTGTCCTCCCGCTGTTCATCGATTTGCTTGAGCAGGCACCAGTAATGTCTCACAACAAATGTGAGACTTGTTGTTACTGTGTTTGGCATATCGAATGTGCCACGGGGAGCTTGCCAGGCTCTGCTATGTGGGCGAAATACTCTCGGTAGCTTGCCGGGCTCTACTAGGGGCGGAGGAATCGAACCTGGGTCGGCTGTATGCAAGGCAAACACCCTACCCGCTGTGCTATTGCTCCAGCCCTCATTAATAGTAGCACTGTCCTCCCGTTGTTCATCGATTCACTCAAGCGGGCACCAGTAATGTCTCACAACAAATTGTGAGACTTGTTGTTACTGTTTTCGGCATATTGAATACGTCATGGGGACCTTACTAGGCTTTGCCCAGTGGGCGAGATTCTCTTGGTAGCTTGCTGGGTTCTCCGAGAGGGGCGGAGGAATCGAACCCGGGTCAGCCATGTTGGCCTCCTACAAGGTAAACGCCTTACCCACTGTGTTATTGCTCCAGCCCGTTAATAGTGATAAGTGCAGAGAATTAAAATGTTTAACACTGAAGAGTTGTTTTCCTACTGTTTCTCAATAATTAGAGTTGCAATTAGTTTTTAAAAACTAGTAGTCTAATTCCCAGAATCTCTAAGGTCCTGAGTTTCAAATATCTTGTCACTGAAAATGAAGAATGGTTCTCAAACACCTTCTCTACAGGTACCAGGACCATATTTAAATGGTAAAACACTTAACAATTAAATCAGTACATTAAATCGGCCCCCTTTATAATTATTATATGATTATTTGGTTTTGGGGGTACACCTGGTATACTCACATCTTGCTCCTGGATCTCTGAACAGACTCATTTATCACAGTGTGGGGGCTATATGGGGTGCTGGGAATCGAGTGCATGGATTGGCTATGGGCAAGGCATGCGACATATCTGCTATACTATCCCTCCCACATATTTTTTTTCAAGAGTGATGGCAAATGTTCAAATATGTCTGGTTACAAAAACATTTAAATTCTATGATGTCAAATCAAAGCATTGTACATTTTATGTGAGTGAAGAATATGATATGCAAATACCCAATGAGCTTTAATTTTTTATTTGGTCCAGGCTAATGCAGCAAGATGAGAGCCTTGTCTATGCCCTCAGGATGGTGTGGGCCTGCAGGTGACTGAGCACATCTTCCTCCAGATGGGAAGGACTCCTCCACTGTCCAGGGAGCACAGTACTCTCAGGGTTCCCCCCTCCCCTGTGATTCCCCTCACCCTTTGTGCTCTCAGGCCTCCCAAGGAGCACAAGTGAGAGGACAGACACTGAGATGTTTCCAAAGAACTGAACTTTATTCACTATTTACACAATGACACAAAGAGGCTGCTCCAGTCAAACCCCCCATTCTAGGTACAGCCCCCGCCATTCCAGAGCAGGCTTAGCTGAAGATCATGGGGAGTACAAGGCTTCTGGGTGCAGCCAGACACTGGGAGGTGGTCAGGAGGAGCCCCCAGATATCCTACTGTCTCTTGTGCCCCCTCCCCCTCCTCTGGGCCATGGCAGGCTGGAACTTTCTCTTGGGGGGCAGGGAGGGGCCCTCCAGCTCCACAGTCAAGGCTGAGCCACTTGACACCATGGGGTGCCCCCTGGGACAGGGGGTCTTCTTAGCAGTGCCCCGCCTTGGGCCCCCACACAGAGGATTCTTCCTGGTAGGGGCCTTAGACTTGAAGGCCCTTGTGCGAGTGGATGGGAGCTCGGGATTCCCCTGACCTCCAGGCAGGTGGGAGCCAGTGTTGGGGTCAGTGTCAGGGCCAGGGCTCGTGGGTAAGCCCCAGGGCAGCAGGCTGTTGTGAGAGGCTTGGAGGAAGACCTGGCTGGTCAGTTCCTCTTTCTCCTCACTGGAGCCCTCTGCTGCCCCAAGCGAACCCCGGCCAGGAGGGGCCTCTCCCAGCATGCGGGGAGCCCTGCTGTCCAGAGTGGGGGCAGTGAGGCTGGGACAGGGGGCCGGTCCTGCCTGCAGGGGTGGGGACTCCAGGTTCCCCAGAGAGGGGGCAGAGGCTCCAGGTGCCATCACAGTGGCCTCGGCCCGCCCAGGCCGTGAGGCATGTCCAGAGTCAGTCTCAGGGGGGCAGGAGTCTTTTATTGTCACCTGGTGTTGGGGACAAGCCTTCATGACCTCCTTAGCCTTTGAGGCCTGCAGACGCTTGTCCACAATCTGGGGGGAGAAGGGACAGTGTGGGCATGTGGGGGTGCAGGGTGGGACAGAGAGTGACTCCTACTCCTCTCAGAGAAGATGCTTGAGCTCTGTGGCTCCCTTAGAGCCTTCTCACCCTCCATCATCCTGACTTCACCCAGTATTCATGTCCTCTTCTCCCTGAAGCCTCACATGAAGCGGGCAGGGAGGGCATCGCACTTGCTGGGAGTCGCTTCTGGGGCGCCCCTCCTTGACCCATGCAGCCCCGCTTATCTGAGTTCCCAGGCTTAGTCACCGTCTCCCCATAGAGTCTCTTTCCCCGAACCAACCCAGAAAACTCCTTTTTGTTTGCCCAGGGTCCTTGCTCACCTCCTTACCTGAACGCCCCGGTCCCTGACACAAACCTGCAGAGGTCCACTTGCCCTCACCTGTGTGGGGGTGAGTCCTTCCTCCTTCTCCAGCTCCTCAGCCAGGTCCAGGAAATCCAGCTGGGACTCTGGGCAGAGCAGGTGCTCCAGGAAGCTGGGATGAAGGATCGCCTCAACCTGGGAGAGGGAAGCAGGGGTGAGGCTCCTCGTAGGGAACAGGAGGGAATGAGGAAGCAAACACACCTGTCCCCAGCACAGTGCAGGGGGCTTAGACGGCTGCACAGGCTTGGACGGCTGCACAGTCTCACACAGACCCACGCCGGGAACGCTCACACACACACACACACACACACACAGTGACGCGTACACACCTGCACTCACAAAGGCACACGGACTATATACCTACTCTCACAGAGTAGCACATGTGAGCACCCATGGATTCAAGCACACACCTGATACAAATGATACACTCTTTTCCTCCTCTAGGTACATGTACATGTATCTGCACGTGTCTGCACAGCGCTCACACATTACACACAAATGTAGACACACAGAGATATTCACACATTGACCAAACTCAGAAATGCACAAACAAGGGCCACTG